GAGTATGCAATACGAAGAATTTAATTTTCGCTAAGCGTTAATTCTTTCGTTGATATTCATGTGTAGCTAACTCGTTATATCCCTTCTCTTGAATTACCGAAATAAAAAAATAATGGGCACTTAACTTCTTGTCCCAATGGTTTGTGTAATTTGATGACATAACGACATTTATTTTATAGATGGAATTAAAGCATTACAATATAAATATAAACTTATAATCACGTTATATTAAGTTTGTGGAGAGGACACAAAACTCGCGGAAATCACGCGAGTGAATTTCATTCGCGGCAATTTCTCTCCCCAAAACACAAACCTCGTTTCTTTCGCCTCTTCTCTCCGTCTGCCTTTCCGGTGGTCGGTTACGACCGGCGCTGTGAGAGGGCCACCATCTTCTTCCCCTTTTTGGTCCTCTGTTACATAGGTTCTGGTCTCCTGGTTCCTCTTGATCTGAGCTGCAGTTAGGTGGCGAGTGGGTGGTCGACACACCGTATGAGACGGCCCCGTCTGGGTACGAGTATCTCTCCGCCGTGGCTCCTTTGCTAGCCGGTTGCTTTGGGTCCGCCGGTGGAGAATGGCTTGAATCTGTTACCCGCCTCTTATATCTGGTCTGGTGTGGATCTCTTGATCCAAGTCCCTCCCAAGCGATTCCGGCGTCCGAGTTGGATAAAATCGGGTCTGCCCGCCGATCTCTTCCCCCTCCGGCCACTATGGACTTCGCAATCTTCTGAGGCTCGCCTTGGAAGCTCCGCCACACTTCGATCTTCTTCTGGTGGTTCGGCCATTCTCGATCAGGCTCTTCTSATGGGGGTCMGTTYTGSTCCCGATGGAGGCTAGCCCKTGTCCCCACCATGAAGATCGAGGGTTGTCGTCTAGGGCTGCGTTTCTTCGAGATTCCAGCTCCGGGTTGCGCTTCTCATCAATCCGGTGATTACTGGGTCTCCTCTTCTCTTAGTTCATACCCCCTTCGATGTGATGCAGTTTCGGGATTGAGTTTGTTGATTTGGGGTTCGTTTATTGACGACGTGGCTCGCGGTTTTGGTGTTTCGACGGTGAGTTCTCTCTGTGGACAGCAGGATGCTTTTCTTTGGAGTGGTCATGGATATCCGAGTGTGTGGTTTTGTCAATGGCGCTTTCTTGGGTTACAAATGGTCCCTCGTAGTGGTGGTTATTGTTGCGGTTTGCTTCCGGTGGAGGCTCCCTAACTGCTGCTCTGGACTGTTTCTGCGTGTATCAGGTCTAATCGGTTGGTAAGGCCTTGGTGTTGGTTGTGTCTCACTTTCTTGTTGTGGTGTGGTTGTCGTTGGCTAGGCTTAGTGTTGTGATTTGGTTTGATTCTGTTATATGCCTTAGAGGAGTAGTAAATCCTTAGTGTTCGGCGACACAATCTTGGGATGTATCTAGCTCTGTACTGGCCTTTTTCGAGACCTCGGGTCTGTTCTAGGAAGAGGGAGCTCTCGTCGTTCACGGTTAGGGTAGTGTGATTTCAGCCTAATGCTAGCTCATGGTCTTGTGCCGCTTTGCAACTCTCACATGACGCAAGGGGTGTATGTGATCGAATGCTTGTGGTCGTGGCCGTTGACAACATTGTGTTGAGCCTCAATTGAAATGCTTCTTTGGTTTTTGGCGTGGATCGATAGGATTATGCGATTTGCTGCGCTACTTCACTCCTTCAATAGGTTTAGAAGAACAATTACCATCGGGATCACTTTGTCTAGCTCCATTACCTCTCGGGTTAATGTCGAGCGGACGGACTGACAAAACGAATCATTGCCTTATGTTTTCCATGTTTTAATTTTTTTTGCCATGGATTCATATGTTAGGTTTTATAAATTCTGTTTGTAAAACCAAAACTTTTTCATTGTCTAATGAAATATTTACCATTTAACAAAAAAAAAAAAAAGTTTGTGGAGAGACAGTAACACACCCACAACCGATCACACCAAGTTACACAACAGGACATGCAACAAAACTAAACAACAAACATTCGTTAACTGCAAATGTTACTTATATAATGAAATCACATAAACACTAAGAACATAATTATATCAGTAGTGCAGGACGTAACAGTTGTACTCAACTGTGGCATCACCGGACTTGAAATCAAACGACATGGTCCGAGCCTGGACATAACCTCTAGCGAACCGGAAGACTCCACTTCCCCCGACCACTGGCATTTCCCTAACCTTGGATAACACCGTGTTCCTACCAAGAACCGCGATCGTACTCCCATTGTACTTGCCGGTCTTGAAAGCAAAATTCATCAACATCAAGAAGCTAAGCTGTCCTTGGGCCGCTCCAGCATAAATCCCTTGGGCCTGGCCCATCACAGTCGAATTTCTCGACACGTCCAATGTTAGTGCATCGTCCATCATGGTGATCGATCCGAACAAGGAGGTGTTAGAGACCGGCTGCTGGATCATGACGGAGCTAGGGTTTCGACCTTTTAAGGAGTCTTGCCAATAGAACCGGAGATGGGTGAGTTTCTCCTTTTTGAGACCGAGATGTTTTTGGTTCATGGTTCTTGCGAAGTCACCACCGTCTCCGGTAGAAACAAGGGGGGCGACGAGGAAGACGATTTGTGTGACGAGTAAAAAGATGAGCTTTGTCATGTTTGTGGTTGTTTGTGTATATAGAAGAAGCTTTGTGTTGTGTCCATAACTAGTGTGTGTATATATAGAAGAAGAAGGCGTGCATGTGAGTGATATTTAAGATTTTTTATCCTAGAAAGAAAAATCTTGGTTATTAGGCAAATTAATTAGCCCTTTATCCTATTAGTGGTCGGTTGCTATATTGAGGTGGTTATGTAAGTTAGCACTTGTAGAGTGTAATTCGCATTTGTATTTATATAAACACTCATATTATATGTTAGAGTGTAATTAGCACTTGTATTTATATAAACACTCATTAGTTAATACATTCATTAACTAATGAGAAAATATATACTGTATACTTAATGCGTATATCTCTCTTGATATATCCTTTGGACTATTGGACACTTGTGAGTAGACGTCAGAATCATAATAATTGAGATTTGTTGGATTGTTTCTAAAGTATGAAACCAATTGATGTACGTTAGTTCGTACTGTCAGGATAATTGATTCCAGGTACAGTTATCTTTTGACTGATGGCGAGTACGCTTGTTCTACACCATTATTTCGCTGATTTAACGTGAGGAAACTGATCTTCTAAAATTATCAAGTT